CACAAAAAAAAAAATAATAAAAAAAATAATAAAATAAAAATAAAAGTCATCTTCTTAAAGTGTCTGACTTGTTTTATAATATATACACTATATTTGAATAGTAGTGCCTGTATATAACTGATAAATAATAATATAAATATTCATCAGATCAAGGTTTAAATTTTTTAATTGATGGGGTTCTTGATCAAAAAGGTCTGGGAACTACTGGTCTAGAGAAGATGGAAGACCAGTAAGCAAACACTCAAATCTAATGCAGAGGGAGCTTGGCTGGAGCACAGACAATAAGCATCTAGCTCAGCAGGGAAGGAAGAGGAAGCAGGATGCAGGGAAGGCTTCTTGGAGGAGGTGACAGGCTGAGTTGCTGAAGTGTATTTGGTGGGAGGAGCAGGGACGAAGGAAGAATGTTTCAGGCAGGCTATGCAACACATGCAAAGGCAAGGTAGCCTGTGAGTGCACAGTGAGCGCATTTTGTAAACTAAACTGATTTCGTCCATCTTGAACTGTAAATATATTTGGGGGAACTGTAGGAGGTAAGGCTGGGAGGCTTCTGCAGAGATCCAGTTATGAAGGTCATTGAATAGGAAACTTATTCTGATGGTGAAGGTTGGTGCTGAGGGAATCTAGCAGGGGAGGCGAGATCATGGAGCAATGTCCCCAACTTGATCCTCTAGCCCAGTCTCCACTGACAATTGTCTGAGTCTTAGAGGAAAAGGATTGTAATAGTGGGAGCTGGTGAAATCCTAAAAAGCCAGGACAAAAAAGGTGCTAGCAGCCACTGAAGGGACCGAAAATCGTCAACAGTGGGCATTGCTGGGTGAGCATGGATAATGCCTAAGGATACATCTCTGGGCACAAAGGCTATGCAGCCTTTTCCACGCATTAGTGCCCTAGTGACTCCATTATAGTCAACAGCAACAAAGCTATCACCTGAGTGAGCCAAAGCTGGAAAGGAGGGAAATAGCAGACACCAGAGCAACCGAGAGGACAGTACACGGAGTCCACCAAGCCACCCCTGGCAGGCTGCTAGATAGGATCCAGGAGGAGCTTGCAAAGCATTTGGTGTTCCCTCATGCAAGGAGAGACTGTACTTGTCTTATTCAAATTGTATCCTTTGTATCTTGCACAATGGATCAGGACTGCAGGATTGTACAAATCCTGGGGTCACTCTCCATGCAGCTGCCTACATAAATAACACCTTTTGGAGTTGTGCAACAGGAGCCTTGCACAGATATTCAATCAAGATATGCTAAAGAAACGAATGAAATACTGATTGCTTGGCTGCTCTTATGATCTTACTTAAACCTGCAGGCTGGGCTGGTCAAATCCCATCAGATCTGAGTTTGGAGCTATCATCAGGATGGCAGTGTGGCAGACTGCAGCAGGGAGGTAGACCTGTGATGCACAATTAGAGTGGCAGTCATCAGCTGGATATTTCACTCATTTAGTTCTAGAGAAATCCTGCAAGGCGCTGGAAATGAAGTGCCATAACTATGCATATAGTCAGCAGGGCAGAAGCAGCTGGGTAGAGCTAAAAAGTAATACCCATGAGGATTGGTCACTGGTGGTATCCTACTAGAGAATGCCCATTACTCAATCTAAGGTCAACCCTTAATTCTAGGCAGAATGAGACTGGGGGCCAAAATGAGAATTAATCATCAAAGAGCAGATAAAGCTGATTCATCTCTGAGCTGTAATAAAATCAGTACAAAGAAGTTGAAGACTTGGTTGCATAAATATTAAACAAGAAAATCTGGAATACACATTGTCCTCTTTGGGAGAAGGTGGAACCTAAAGAAAACATCCCAACGAGGCAGAGGTTGCCTTTGGTAGGAGTGGCAGCCTGAGTCTTCAATAGCTGGGGAGCATCAGACATTCTTATAAGTGGCCACAGGCTGGTATGAGCTGAAGACGACCTGGGTTCATGATCTGCTCAGTCTACATAGTGGTGGCAGTAAAAGGAACGCCTCAAGCCTTAAGAGCCTGTTTACATCCAGTAAACCTGAAAAGCACCTTAAGAGGGCCTGGGGAATAACCCAGAAAACCTGAGAGAGCTAGAGTTGAAGGCAGTATGGAGAGTTAAATTCAAAATAGAATCAAATGTTCATACAGATCCTCTTGTAGTGCTAACAGATGTCCATGCAGGGCACAGGAAGTACACGGTTTTGATTATCAGTGTATCCCTAAATTAACTCAATCCTGTATGTGGAGGCCAGACAACTACATGAAACAGAATCTTTTGATGACTGATTGGCTCCATTAGACCAATGGATTCACACTCTCCTGGCAGGTGCCCCATCCTGTGGGCAACGGCCATGCTAGATTTTGGGAGACTGCTACTGGATCCCAAATCATGTGTAACGATAAGCACCATGCTATGGGGCCACTATACGTCCATACTTTGGGGCTACGCATTGGGAGGCACAGTGCTCTGGGGAGAGGCAAACGGTTTCCAAGAAAAGGGTCTTAAACCCAGGGAATGCTTCTAGTTCACAACCACTATCATATCCTTCTGACTCCTCAGTTCGCTTACTGTCCCTTTCTTTTGAAATATTTTTACTGCCCAAATCAGGCAGACAAATGTTTTTGTAAGTATAGAGGTATATTAGCCATTACTTTCTCTTGGACATAATAGGTTGAAGAGTTTGTTCTATATATTTTTATAGTGTTGACTTTATCTGAAGGCACACCCTTGAAACAAACATTTTTAAATGTAAGTACATAATGGTCAGCATGCCATTGTACAAGAATTTTTTTTAAAAGTTTGCCTGTAGTTACTATATCTTTGTCCTTTTATTGTCTATTGATGCCTTACTGAATGCACTATGAATACAGAGAGGAACTAGCTGTGTGTGCTTGGGGAGAACTTGCTCCATGCCTCCGGCCTCAGTTTTCTGCATCCACAAAGTAGTGGGTCTGATGGCCAGAGTATCTTCCAGATCTAAAAAACCATGATTATGTATCTCATATAAAGACCAGAAATGCCTAGAGTGTGCAGCTTTAAAAAAAAAATAGTATAAGCAGAATGTCATATAAGTAAAGCTTCAGTTCATATTATGAAGTTTTAGTAGGTTATTTTATGCAAAATAAACTGATTTTTTCCAAAATATTAATAATTACCCAGTAATTATTAATTACTGGGTAAAGTAAAGAAAAAAATTTTAAATCTTAAAAGTCAAAAGCTTGATTCATTTTATAAGTTATTTTGGCTCCTTTCATTCAAAAAATTCTATTCATTAAATTCAGCCTATCAAGGTTTTATTTTAAGAATACTGAAACTGACAGCAGGTAGTAGAGACCTATGCATTAGTGAAACCCAGTCCCCTTACATTTCCTGCACTTTCTGTCTCTGAGCTGTCTTGCCTGCGCCACCTCTGTTCCTGTCCACACTCTCTGGAGTTCATAATTCCACATAGCTTTCCCTCCAGAATACAGAGTTGCTACTTCTCCAAAGCTCTTGGTGCTTCCCAGATGCTGCATGGTGAGGATGCCTAACATGCATCTCTAGGGGGAGGCTGTCTTGGCATGGTTTTGGCTGAAGCTTTTGCATTGCATTTCTCTGCCCTGTCACTTGGTGTGGTGTGTGTCTGCCAGATATTCTGCCTGCTCTCAGCTGAAGGCCTTCCCAGACTGGGCAGCTGAATGCACTGCACACAGCTGCCAAATTTCTAATTCAAGATCTAGAATTCTAACTCCTGCTCTTTAGACCCTTGTCTGGCCCAGGCTCCAGTCTCCCGCCAGCACCAACCAGGTCCCTGGCTGATTATCAGGCCCACCCTGGCCCTGCTGCCGTCCCCAAGTGGGCCCAGGAAACCACCTGAACTTCAAGAACACTGCCCCAGCCTCACCCAACCCAACTCTCATCTCAGCACAAGCTTGTCACCTTGTGAGTTGGGAGACAGAAGAGATGAGCAAGAAGAGGAAATGCCATGGATGAGGGGACTCATCACCCGCAATTGCTGTGACTGTCAGATTGTAAAACTTTTTAAGGTGCCTTTACTCTAAATACTCAAATGAAAAGCCTTAACAATCCTATTATTGGAAATAACACTAGAGGTAGATATAGTTTATGGAGAGGGGAATACTATTTCTCTATGTATCTGCACCAGAGGGTAAGTAAAATTTGTCCTAAGGAAAAATGTTAAATTCAGTGTACGTGCATTAATTAAAAAATGCACTGTTGGATCATAAACTGCTGATAACGTCTGATGTTCCTTGGGCACCTGGAAAAGTGCTGTTGGAGAACACACGCTTTACAGGTAAAAATACCAGTGCAATGGGAGGTGGAGGTGGGGACAAGGAGGTAACTGATTCTTAGCAAAACTCTGGTTTTCAGAGAGCCTACCAAATTCAACTTAAGTGCTTAACTGGTCAACATTATAGTTTAAATGCTCACAGGATGGTGTAATCTTGATTGATTGGAGGGCTCTCTTCTCATTTAAATGAAGAGTAAATATGTCCCTTGACCCTGTTTTCACTCCTTCTAACTTTAACCAATGCACTGTCCTTTCTGCTGAGACAGTCTTGCTCCCAGGGAGACAGATGGGTTAATTCCCAGACCTGAGATGGGGCAGTGGGGTGCTGGGTAATTTGGGGAAATGAAATCATTTTAGTTTTTGTTTTCCCAAAAGGAGCAGGGAGTATGACAAACGTGGTATATATGTACAACAAACGCAAATGCACTTGACAATCAAGTACTCTATTTTGAAATTTAAATAAAGCTAAGATTTTCTTCTGGCCTAGAGGGAAACTTCATTAAAATCAATTAGTTAGTACAAACCTCCAGAGAATATGGACTCTTTTTTTAAAAAGAAGGTTTAAAGAGTAAGGTGCACACAATTACCTTTCTTGGGTCCCCTGTGAATGTCAGTGTCACACCTAGACAGGTGGCCAAGTGCAAACAAATGTCCTCGAGAGGGGCCTGAGTAACTCCCCGAGTTCTCATCGCTGGGATGCATGTGTAATTAATAGATGTGTATATATCGAGAATGTAATATACATAACCAAGGAGGTTCCAAAAAGATTGCATGTATTACCAACTGTGAAGGGCAGGCCGAATGAGATAAAGTTGGTGGCAGGCGTTCCCAGGTGAGGCCTCGGTCCAGGAGCGGAGGTTGGGGCCGCACAGCTGTTGCTGCGCGCCCTGCTCCCTCCTCCCAGCTGCGGCGGACGCCGCCACCGCCGCGGCCGCCTCCCCTCTGCCTCCCGGTCTCTCCTCGCTCTCCTTGCATCGCTCTCGCCCCCTCTCCCTCCGTCCCGTCCTCTCCGCTCCCCTCACCCCGCCTCTCTCCCCCTCCCCCAGCCCCTCCTCTCCTCACCCCACCCTGCCTCCCTCCGTCCCTCCGCCCGCCCGGAGCTCGCAGAGCCGACACCAGGGGGGCTCTCGATGTAGCACCATGACAGGCATCGCCGCCGCCTCCTTCTTCTCCAATACCTGCCGGTTCGGGGGCTGCGGACTCCACTTCCCCACCCTGGCCGACCTCATCGAGCACATCGAGGACAACCACATCGGTAAATGGCACGGGGGTGGGCGGGGGTGCCCGGCGCGCGGAAACTCCTGCCTAGGCGAGAACCCCAGAATGGCCAGGGGTGGCCGGGAGGGAGGGAGGCGGCGGCGGGGCGAAGAGGGTGTGTGCGAGCCCGGGCGTGGGGGTGGCGGGATGCGGAGGCGTGAGGTGCCTGGGGTGGGGGGGAGCAGGG